TTCATTCTACTGTCTTTCCTATTTGCCATCTCCCTTCCCTTCCCTCCCCTTGTCTACTCCAATGAACTTCTATTCTCCTCCCCCTCCCATTATACCTTCTTCACCCTGTGGCAAAAACCTGGTTGGTTTCTAACTGCAGGTTCTGGATCTAAAAGCTAGAGACTCCATATGTGTACCCAAAATAGCAACTCTGGATGCTCCACTCTCTCAAAGAGTGTTTCTCAACCTTGGCACGATTTTGATATTTGTGGTCAAAAAATTCTGTTAGGAGAGGTTGTCTTGTGCATTACAGGATATGTGGCAGCATCTTGGCCTCAACCAATTGAGTACCAGTAGTGCCACTCTCCAGTTGTGACAACACTAGCATTGCCAAGTGTCCCCTGGAGAACAAAGTCCCCTTCCTTCTACTTTGAGAATCATTGGTTTAGAAGACTCTAGTCCTCTGATGGATATAACCTTGCCAAACTCTCATTTCTTAGTAGGGATTCTTGCTACCTAAGTCTAATACTAAAAACAATTTTCCCTCTACAAATTTCATTTGGTTTGCAAAAGCTTAATAAGCCTAGTCACATCTTTTTCTTTTGAAAATTATAACTTTGATGGAAAATTTGGAAACTATAGAGGTGTAAAAAGGAGAAGAAATTTAAATCCTAGTCTTGTATAATAATAAGCACAGTTGATGTATATTAAAAATTTAATTTTCACTCCTTTGGCCATCTCCAGGAATTTGTTCAACAGAAGTAAATACTTATAAAGATTAATTAATCAAAACACTGTTCATAATATAGAAAATTAGATACTAATAGAATGTCCAAAATGGCACATTCAATAAGTTTTGTATGTAACATCTATTTGATAAGATGCTATGGAGCTACCAAAACCCACATCCTTCAAAAATTTATTTAAAGATATGGAAATACACACCAGATGTTAACTTAAAACAAACAAAAAAAAAAAGTCACATATAAGATACACTGGAAACTACAAAATATGGCTGAAAGAAATTAAAGAGAAATAAATGGAGAGAAATCTTATGTTCATGGATTGGGTGATTTAATATTATTAATTTGGTAGAACTAACCCAAACAAGCTACATAGTCAATGCAATCTTCTGCCCAAACCCAAACTCCAATATTTTATGCAGAAACAGAAAAATTTATCCTAAAGTTCTTTAGGAATCTCAAGGGACCCAAATAGCCAAAACAGTTTTCAAAAAGAACAAATTTGGAGGACTCATGCTTCCTGATTTCCAAACTTACTATAAAGCTATAGTAATCAAAACAATGTGGTATTGGCATCAACCTAGACGTATAAACCAATAGAATAGCGAGTCCAGAAAAAAGATCCTCATGCATTGCTAAATTATTTTTGACAAGAGTGTCAAGATCACTCAATGGGTAAAAGATATTATGCTTAGTGAAATAAACCAGACACAGAAAGACAAATATGCTGTTCCCATTAATTTGAGGTACCTAGAAGATTTTGATGCAAAGAGAGCAAGAGAGAAAATGGAAGCCTGGTTATCATGGCCTGGGGTGGTGGTGGTAATAAGGAGTTGTGTGTGTGTGTATGTGTGTGGTGTGTGTGTATGTGCGCGCACCTGTGTGCATGGTACTGGAAATTAAACTCAGGGACACTATCACTGAGCTACACCAGAATCCCTTTTTGAGGCAGTGTCTCCCTAAGTTGCTGAGACTGGCTTTGAACTTGTAATTCTTCTGCCTCAGCCTCCCAAGTTGCTGGGATTACAGGAGTGCACCACTGCACCCCATGAGTTATTATTTAATGGATATAGAGTTTCAGTTGAGGATGATGAAATAGTTCTAGAGAAGGATAGTGGTGATGTCATATTTTAAATATTATTAACTAGTTAAGAAAAATATATGCATTAAAAATATCGCATGAACTAAAAATTTTAACAGTGTTTATTCTGTTCTTATTTTTATTTCTATAGAGTGGGGTAATTTTTATTATTGCCTCAATAATTTTTCCTTATGTCTCAATATTTTGGGGGACAAAAATGTTTTACTTCCAAGTCAGAATAAAGAGAGTAATAGGTGCATTGTTTTTAAGCAACTATTAAAATTCTGTTGTATTTCAGCAAGAAAATGTAACACCTACCAGGAAAACATACAAATATAATACATACAAATATAATTTTGAGTTTATCGATTTCAGTGAATGTTACATCAAATGGCTTTTCAGGTTACCACTTCATAAATAATTATTTGAAAAACACTGAAGTATATTCATTAAGTATAAGTGCCACTGTTGATTATTCCTTTACTGCTGGAAAAGTCGTCAATTTCCACTTGTTTTATTATGTAACTATTACTTGAATGATTCGTTTGTGCACAACATTTTTTCCATGTTTAGAATTTGTATCTTAGGACAGTTTCCTAGAAATGAACTCACTGGGTCAAAAGTTTATGTTTCTTCCTCTGCTGCTCTTAAAGACATTCATTATCACACAAGCATAAGAGACTATAAAAGTTTTTCAATAGTAGGTACTATTAAAATGCCCCCCAAAAATGTGATCAATTCCAGGGATTATAAGAGAATTAAAAGTATCTAAAACACTTTATCTTAAATTTTTGTGGTCGTCTTACTTTATAATGACAAATAATATAATTAACACCTTAATTTTTTTTTTCTATTACTACCTTTCTCTTTCTGGAATTCCTCCCTTTATCTCCCTTTACTCACTCCATGTCTTTATTCCACCCAAAAATACATTCAAGAACCTGATAATATGAAAGATCCTCTTGAATCCTGGGAATTTGTGGTCTGGGCATAATTGTATTACATAGGTCAACTTTGCTCTTGGCATTTTCCTTCATCAACCTTTCTTGTATATTGCCTCAGTTGCAACTTACAGTTATCCCATGGTTACCAGGAATACCAGCTTCAGGATAATGCTAAGTATGGTGGGAAACAGACAAAAACCTGGGGCCCAGATGATAGTGTTGAGCTGCTGAATCAACCATCCCTAAATCCTGTGCTATCTCAGGACTTCCTGCCATCTGAGCTAATAGGTTTCTATATTGCTTACCTCTTGCATATGCATGGCGTTGCTGCTACTTTCACTCTAAAGCATCCTAACTGGCTCAGATGCAGTTTGGGATGGGGGATTAAAGACAAATTTTGACCTTGCTTTGAAGGAAAAGCAGAACACCAGAAGGTAGGGACAAGTAATCCAAGTCAAGAAAAGATGTGAACAAGGACAAAGAGATGTGGCCGTTTTTGGTGTGCATGGAGGATTCAGCGAGACGGATGCAGAGAACTACAGGGGCCAGGTAATAGGTAATGAAGTGGGCAAGTTGGGGCCAGGTTCTTGAAGGAATATAATTTTTTCCTCTGTGTAATAGAGAAACAGCAAAGATTTTTAATCAGGAAAATGATTCTAGGCACTTAGTCATTCCTCCTTTCTAAAATTCTAGCAGTGAGAGCACAAGTAAGATAGAACAGGGTGGGAAATGTAGCTCAATGGTAGGGTACTTGCCTAGCATGCACAAGGTCCTGGATTCCATCTCAAGTACACAAAGGAAAAAAAAAAGGAAAAGAGAAGCAAGGGGTGGGGACAGAGCGTGTATAAGTAAATACAATGTTCTATTTCCCTGTGTTCTTATAGATATTATACTAACACACATACTATGTATGTATAAAGCTAGATAAGGACATGTAACTGCATGTATGTGGATGTGTGCATGCCTGCACAGGGAGAAATGTCATTCTGGATTATCCAAAGTATTTAATTCAATTTCTGATTGGTTGTTTGCAAAGATTTCCTGGTAAGAATCCATAAGCCAGTGCTGTCATTACTTTGACAAAAATCTTCCTGATTCCATAATGGGAAATCAGTAATTTTCTGAGCTGTGATTCTGGATTCTGATGCCACATTATTATAACTGACCATGTGACAATAGAATTGGACTTCAGTTTACCTTGTATAAAATGAATTTTCTAGGTTAGCTGGTCCACAGGGTCTAAGTTATGTAAAACATGACTACATTATTCCATAATGTCTACTTTCTCCTTCTCCTCCCTCTCTTTTTTTTCCCTCCCTCCCTTTTCTTTTCTTTTTAATTTCTCATTTTCAAACAGGGATCTCTGAGATTCTGAATAAGGTTTAAACAAGAAAATTCACCTGTAGTTCATCTGGAAATCTGGGTTGAACTGCAGATAACACCCAGTTAACACTGAGCTTAAACAAACATGGGTTTGTTTTACTTCCTTTCTTGGAAATCTCAAGGAAAAGGGGTCTTGGCATTGCTTCAGAACCTCCACTAAATCAAGACAACATCTCCGCAATTCTCCTGACCTTTCTCTCATACTTGTCACTTCTTGTGTATAAATTGACAGAAATGAGGGAATTGTGGCACCAGGAACATCTGCTCCCTCTCTTTGGAAAGAAAGACATTTTTCCAGAACCATCTCTTCTATCTCCCTATTAACATTTCTCCAATTATGTTTCATTGGCAGGAGAGTGTTATGTTACATGGTCACCTCAGCAGGAAGGGAATCTGACAGATTCATGAACTCAACTATTGTCTACAAGTTTAGGGGATTCAGAACCTTCCAAAAATCCTTTATGGTAACCAGGATTAGAATCTCTGATCTCAAAAGTAGGTCACACTGAGTCTTGATTTTAAGAGTCTCAGTCTTCAGAGAAAACTAAAAACTGAATAGATTTCTTAAAATCTCGTTTGAAGCAGTAAAATTGTTTAAATGTCTAGAGTACAAGGAGATATTATGAAAGTATTTTGTAAACCGTAAAGTTCTCTTAATATGAAGGTGTACTTCTATTTGTATTGTGAGAATTTCCTTTCTTACCTGTGGATCACACATCTGGTTTGCCATTTGCACTGTGGTGTGTGTGTGTGTGTGTGTGTGTGTGTGTGTGTGTGTGTGCCCGCGCGCGCGCATGTACCCGCACAGATGTGTGCAAATAAAATTATTATTAGGAGGTAGGAGAGAAGAAAACAACACAAGCAAATCAATGCCAGGAACACAAAGAAAATATTTTATTAGTTTCCAGATTGAAAAACAATGAAGGAGAACACATTTCAATAGAAATCCATGACCCTCCTCAAAGAGCCCACTCGGGCGTTCACAGCGCCCCAGTCGAGGTGACGCCTGTATTCCCCCGGCCTCAGTAGGTACTGCCGTCCGCGGTAGTTGGGCAGCTCATAGAGGACCCAGCTGCCCTCCAGCACGTTCAGGGAGTAGATCTCACTCAAGTGGAAGCGGTCCTGAACAGAGGGGCAGTCCTCAGTGATCTCCACCATCTGGCCTCTGTATTCTTCCCTCTCATACAGTCTGATCCTGTGGGAGCCAGCCTGGCAGGCCCAGAAACAGGAAGGGGAGAAAAGCAAAAAAGAAATCTCGTTAACACATTAGTGCAGGCCAGTTTGGAGAGAACTGGTTGGAGTCATTTTGAAGTAGATTTAAATAATAATAATCCCTAATTTTTAGGACTTTCTCCTTACTGAGGGCAGAGGTTTAGTATCTTTCCAAGATAAAGTTTGACTGAATGACCAAGAAAGATATACTGCTCCTGAATACATTAAGATATTACCCCTGTACTACAGAGAAACCCAAACTTTAACACTTGATATCTCTCTCTCTCTCTCTCTCTCTCTCTCTCTCTGTCTCTCCCCCCCCCCCATTTTAAGGAAATGTTTTACATTAAAACAGAAATAAAATATAAAATGTAAAACACTAAACATCTTATGTCTCAGACAATCCATACTCAATTTTTGAATAAAATATGGAAAATCAGGAAGTTCAAGGACTAAATTTTCACAAATTTTAGTGTTTTAAAACACACATAAATATATGTGGCACATGGGCAAATTCTTTGTTGCTCTCCATTGAGAAAAGTACTTCGAGGTGAACTAAAATATTCACATTGGGAGCAAAGAAGGGAAAGAGTCTTTAAAAAAAAAAATCACTTATGCTCAATAACTACCATACCATCAGGCACATAATCACTCTTCTATTAGGTATTAGTGATTTTTCTACATTGCCATTCTAAATGATTCCAGGTCAGGACTTGAATCATATACATCCCTTTCCCAGGGCTGCTAACACAATTCTAGGTAATAAATATTGATTGATTAGTGGGTATCTGAGTAATGCTTTGCTTTTGTGTCTGTGTGTGGGAGGGTGGGTGAGGGGACTGGACTGAAGGAATCCACTACAGCTTTTGTGGATCTTTTTCCCAAACAGGCTGTTTTTCATTCTGGATGATCACCTGTACTTCAAATGATTAACCTTTGCAGGAAACTATGCAGTCAGGGTCCTCAGGGCCTCGTCCTGGGATGAACCGGACTCACGTGGGGGATGAGGCGACAGGAGCGGACAGAGTCGCTGAGGCCCATCCACTGCTGGTAGTC